ATCACATGGAATACAGGGAGAACTGGCCATTTGGATACAGAACTGGTTCAAAGGTAGAAGACAGAGGGAGGTGATGGAGGGTTGCTTTTCAGACTGGAGGCCTGTGACCAGTGGTGTGCCACAACGATCTGTGCTGGGTCCACTGCTTATCGTCATTTTTATAAATGATTAGATGTGAGCATAGGAGCTATGGTTAATAAGTTTGCAGATGATACCAAAATTGAAGTGCAGTGGACAGCGAAGAAGATTACCTCAGAATACAATGGAATCTTGATCAGATAGGTCAATGGGCCAAGAAGTGGCAGATGGAGTTTAATTTAGTTAAATGTGAGGTGCTGCATTTTAGAAGGCAAATTAGGGCAGGTCTTATACACTTATTGGTAAGGTCCTGGGGAGTGTTGTTGAACAAAGAGACCTTGGAGTGTAGGCTCATAGTTCCTTGAAAGTGCAGTCGCAGGTAGATAGGATATTGAAGAAACTATGTGGTATTGCTTGCCTTTTTTGGACAGTACATTGAGTATAGGAGTTGGGAGGTCATGTTGTGGCTGTACAGAATGTTGGTTAGGCCACTTTTTGAATACTGTGTGCAATTCTGGTCACCCGGCTATAGGAAAGATGCTGTGAAACTTGAAAGGGTTCAGAAAAGATTTACAAGGATCTTGCCAGGTTGGAGAGTTTAAGCTATAGAGAGAGACTGAATAGGTTGGGGCTTTTTCTCCCTGGAGCATCGAAGGCTGACAGGTGACCTGAAAGAGGTTTATAAAATCATGAGGGGCATGGATAGTGTAAATAGACAAGGTCTTTACTTTGGGGTGGGCGAGTCAAAAACTGGAAGGCATAGGTTTAAGGTGAGAGGAGAAAGATTTAATAGGGACCTATGGGGCAACTTTCTCACGCAGTGGGTTGTGTGTGTATGGAATGAGATGCCAGAAGAAGTGGTGGAGGCTGGTATAATTACAACATTTAAAAGGCATTTGGATGGTTTAGGGGGATATGGGCCAAATGCTGGCAGATGGGACTAGATTTATCCAGGGTATCTGGTTGGCATGGACGAATTAGACTGAAGGGTCTGTTTCCGTGTTGTGCATGTCTACGACTCTA